GCGGCCTTCACAGAGAGTCTTCACACCTCCCTACCCACTGGCACCTACTTGCATGGGTCGGGAGGTCTTGCATGGGTCGGGAGGTCTTGCATGGTGACTTGGTTGGTAGCCTGGCGTCGTACCCCAACAACGTTGGCCTTTGCTTATTATACTGATCACCGGAGTGTCTGGTCCTGACTCCATTGTTTACAGATCGCCGTATGGCAGGAATATTAATGGGTGCCGTGGAAGGAACAAACACTTATTATTGATGAAAATTGTGTGGCCTGTGCCCCCGGTAGAGCAGAACATGCCTGACCTTCTCGCGAACACCTGGTGTTATCACTGATTCATTCCATCACGTAGCTGGAATATCGCTGAGTGCCGCGTTAGACAACAAATAAACAATTCAACATGACCATATAATCATATATAAGTTCATGACTATTTTTTTTATTTTACGACCATCGGTGTCAGATAAATGAGGCTGACTATTTTTAGTGTCGTTGACGTTTTGAATTTAGGAATGGCTGCGTATTGACAAAGTACAACACTCAGTAACGATAACTCGTTAATACGGACATTTATACTCGCAATGGTGCCGTCCGGATTAACGAATGAGTAAGTATTATTTTACGCCGCTTTTATCAATATTCCAGGAATTCACGTCGGGGGACACCAGAAATGGGCTTCACACATTGTACCCATGTGTGGAATCGAACCAGGGACTTAGCCGTGACGCTTTAACCACTAGGCTTCACGCATAAACTAACATGCATACATAAAACGATTCCATGAGTAAGTACTGCACGTTTTATGACATGGTCAAAGTAGGTAGAAGGTTCCACACTGTGGAGCTGGTATCTTGATAAGTACGTCGTTAGACGGAAGGTCACGATCAATTGGTAATGGCCCATTACAGGTTTCCTGTAACGAAGTAATTAGTTTACGGGTCACCTTGATCATATAACGGGAATCAGAACAATGATGATTAACGTTGCTAGACATTAGGGTAGGGTGATAATGACTTGGTCTTTGCAGATGCCTAACACTGTCCGGACTTGAGCGCGGACTCGGCCAGTCTATCATCTGGAACGAGATGTTGATATCTAAATATGTTATTGTCAACCTTTCTGCACAGCCAACACAATCCATCACCTTTAAGTTAATGACATCGACATCGGATGTTTGTCATGTATTTATTGATTAAAAATCAGTGATACAGTGAGTGAGTGAGTGAGTGAGTGAGTGAGATGGGTTAAACGCCGATATAAGCAGTAATCCAGTTTTATCACTGTGTGTCAGCTTAATGTCGGAGGAAAGCCCGAAGTGATGCAAGTCTCACATTTTTACCACTTCGGTGAAACCCACGAGGACGGGTATGGTGCTGACAAACCTAGAAACATAATAGGGGCGAACAGGTGAAGCTGTAGCTGTAGTTGTATAATGTATTGATATCATGTCGGTGAATATTGTAATCATGTTCTTTGTAACAAGAGATGAAGCTGTAGCTGTATAATGTAGTGATATCATGTCGGTGAATATTGTAATCATGTTCTTTGTAACAAGAAATGAAGCTGTAGCTGTATAATGTAGTGATATCATGTCGGTGAATATTGTAATCATGTTCTTTGTAACAAGAAATGAAGCTGTAGCTGTATAATGTAGTGATATCATGTCGGTGAATATTGTAATCATGTTCTTTGTAACAAGAAATGAAGCTGTAGCTGTATAATGTAGTGATATCATGTCGGTGAATATTGTAATCATGTTCTTTGTAACAAGAAATGAAGCTGTAGCTGTATAATGTAGTGATATCATGTTGGTAAATATTGTAATCATGTTCTTTGTAACAAGAAATGAAGCTGTAGCTGTATAATGTAGTGATATCATGTCGGTGAATATTGTAATCATGTTCTTTGTAACAAGAAATGAAGCTGTAGCTGTATAATGTAGTGATATCATGTCGGTGAATATTGTAATCATGTTCTTTGTAACAAGAAATGAAGCTGTAGCTGTATAATGTAGTGATATCATGTTGGTAAATATTGTAATCATGTTCTTTGTAACAAGAAATGAAGCTGTAGCTGTATAATGTAGTGATATCATGTCGGTGAATATTGTAATCATGTTCTTTGTAACAAGAAATGAAGCTGTAGCTGTATAATGTAGTGATATCATGTCGGTGAATATTGTAATCATGTTCTTTGTAACAAGAAATGAAGCTGTAGCTGTATAATGTAGTGATATCATGTTGGTAAATATTGTAATCATGTTCTTTGTAACAAGAAATGAAGCTGTAGCTGTATAATGTAGTGATATCATGTCGGTGAATATTGTAATCATGTTCTTTGTAACAAGAAATGAAGCTGTAGCTGTATAATGTAGTGATATCATGTTGGTAAATATTGTAATCATGTTCTTTGTAACAAGAAATGAAGCTGTAGCTGTATAATGTAGTGATATCATGTCGGTGAATATTGTAATCATGTTCTTTGTAACAAGAAATGAAGCTGTAGCTGTATAATGTAGTGATATCATGTCGGTGAATATTGTAATCATGTTCTTTGTAACAAGAAATGAAGCTGTAGCTGTATAATGTAGTGATATCATGTCGGTGAATATTGTAATCATGTTCTTTGTAACAAGAAATGAAGCTGTAGCTGTATAATGTAGTGATATCATGTTGGTAAATATTGTAATCATGTTCTTTGTAACAAGAAATGAAGCTGTAGCTGTATAATGTAGTGATATCATGTCGGTGAATATTGTAATCATGTTCTTTGTAACAAGAAATGAAGCTGTAGCTGTATAATGTAGTGATATCATGTCGGTGAATATTGTAATCATGTTCTTTGTAACAAGAAATGAAGCTGTAGCTGTATAATGTAGTGATATCATGTCGGTGAATATTGTAATCATGTTCTTTGTAACAAGAGATGAAGCTGTAGCTGTATAATGTAGTGATATCATGTCGGTGAATAGGTTAATATTATGTTTTCACAACTGAGGAAGACTTTGAAGTCCTTTGATATTTTTATCCTATTGACTTTATGTCAGTAAATATTGTAATGCTATTTGTCATAACGGGCGAACACACTTTAGCTTATTAAGAAAAACAATTTTGGCAAATAGTGTAACATCATCTTTTACGTGGTTCCGGGCCAGGATTTTTCAGCACTTGTGACAGGATCTGGATCAACGTCCTCCCCTGGCATTTAACTTGACGAATCTATGTCCTGCCCCCTACTCAGCTCCAAGTGGCTGTCGGTTGGCGGTGTCTATCATAAACTTTAGTGGTGTTGTGCTTCAGACATTTCTGAAAGAAATATTATTTAACATCAGTACTTTTGGTTCGTCCCCATTACCCACATTTGCATCTATCATTATTTGATTAGACTGCGTCTAATTGACTAGACGGACCATGTAATTGGGACGTGGTGAGCGCGGGCAGACTTCTGGTATAAAAAACTAACACCAAATTAAAATAATTAAAATAAGACAGAATTACTGTCATTGAACATCTGCAAACTTGCTGACTCTGCATTGAACAACGTGAAAGATAGTTGGGTTTAGATCATGTTTTACGAATTGTTGTCGAAACGTGCTATTTGATCTGTAAGAATATTATTGGTATATTCGAGGTGTCGCTGGGTTTCCTACCAATGCCAGAGTATGCTGCTGGTTAATTATTTTCAACTGTGAACAGAATTCAGTGTCATTAAATCTCTTCGAAACGAAGTCCTTGGCATCATAAACTATCTCGAGTTCGTAACTAATGTAGTTCGTGAGAGATATAACATCATGGTACCCATCAGGGCACTGTCTTGGCTATTCAAAGAGATTCTTCTAAAACGGTATTGGAATTAACAGTTTTCGACTTAACGAGGTGTTATATACGAACCTTGAGTCGACCAGTCGCGACCAGTGAGTGAACATGATTTAACGCCGCTTTTAACATGATTTCATTTCTATCTCGGCGTGTCAGATTGATTTGTGAGCAAAGCGCTGAGTGTTGTAATTTGTCTCAAGAGCTTTTAAACTTTAGTGGAAGCCAAAATACGGGTGTTGTACTAACACGTTTAGGAAGATTATCAGGCGAATCGTACCAGTGTACCGCGAGCCCAGAGTGAGCATTTTTCATCACATTAATGCACTGTGGATTAGTAGATTTGGAACTCTATTGGTAGAATCTTTTCAACAGAGTTAATACATACGTCAGCGCCGGACAATAACCAATCTCGATTATCCTACAAAACAGATTCCATTGAGCATAAAAGGCAACACAGCGGTGAAAACTATATGAATGGATCACCGAAAATCAGTGATCTGACCAGGTGATCCCCAAAAGGGTAAACATATCCTGCCTAACGGATAATACCTGCCACGTGCACAATTTGCATAACAAAGTTAGTGTTTGGTGTGCCTGACGTCGCACGGCAGTATTTCTGCCAGGCTACGGCGGCCTGTAATGACACCAGCGGTTGAAGTGTCCCCTCTACGAATGTTAATAAATGATTCTCAGACAACGTTGTATATGTCTTTTCTCCTCTGTACATCTATCACCACTAGATGCCACTTGCTACTTTTGTGTTGAAGGCTTCAACTGAACTAATGCATGCTACTTTCAATTTATATTTGTTCAAGGCTTTATCCTGACTTCTGTTAAATATATCTTGTTAAAGGCGATTTTCGAGAGCTACAGCGGGCGTCAACCTCGTTGTTCCATACATCGTCTTAACAGCATTGCTGCCAGTGATGGATTCACAACATCGCGTGCACGTTAAAAACATTCTTCATTGGAAAAATGGGTCGTATTAGGTTTTGTAATACAGATGTGGCGTTTTTCATTACGTTTGACTGTATGAGCATAGTGGCGACAAACAACACACCAGGCGGGTAGAATGACTCCGCACCAGGACAGTGACACCGCATTGATCAACGATTGGTGTTCCTGGTTCGGTACATTCATTCAGCGGGAGCGGGCGTCCTGAACGGGAAGAGGATGAGAGGGTGAAAGGATGAGTTGGATCAGAGGAAGAGTGGACCAGAGGATGAGAGGATCAGAGGATGAGGTGGATCAGAGGATGAGAGGATGGGTGGACCAGAGGATGAGTGGACCAGAGGATGAGAGTATCAGAGGTTGAGCGGACCAAGGATGAGTGGATCAGAGCATGAGAGGATGAGTTGGATCAGAGGATGAGGTGGATCAGAGGATGAGAGGATGGGTGGATCAGAGGATAAGTGGATCAGTGGATGAGTGATCAGAGGATGAGGTTGATCAGAGGATGAGTGAATCAGAGGATGAGAGGATCAGAGGATGAGTGGATCAGAGGAGCAGAGGATCAGAAGATGAATGGATCAGAGCATCAGAGGATGATCGGTTTAGAGGATGAGTGGATGAGAGGATGAGTGGATCAGAGAATGGGTGGATCAGAGGATAAGAGGATGGGGTGGATCAGAGGATGAGATGGATCAGAGGATGAGTTGATGAGTGGATGAGTGATCTGAGTGGATGATCCCGTTTGTCGCCTCTTACGACAAGCATTAGTCTCTGAAGGCCAAATCCAACCGAAACTTCACGTCACCTTATAATTAATATGAATCACATGCTAATAAATAATTAACGATATGTTGGTCTTTGATAGTTTCAGACTACATAAGGACTTTTCAGATGTCCACCACATGATGTTTATATTGTTTCTAGTAAACACAAAACTGTTTAAAAAGAATTCGAAAATTATAATATGAATATGAATAAGGTTGAATATAAAATTCCCTTTTTACATGTTTGTTCTCAATAGACAATAAAGAAATGTTATACCCAAACATCCTTGTATCAACCAAAATACGTTCACTTTCTAATAATGTAACTGAAACGCTTTAAAGCTGCATGATTTTATTTGATTTAAACATACACTATGTTAAAGTGTTCAATGTGTTATTTATGTGTTATAAAAGATAAGTTGTAATTCAAACACTCAAAGCATTGGAAATGTACGCTATGCCTGTGGCATTCTGGGTAGTGAAACAAAAGATTGAATGTTAATATCTAACCTGTGCTAATAATCTGCACATGCGTGACCTTTCGGTCCACCCCACATCCCCTTACTGATTGCACTTTCCATATAAAAAATGACACGAAGGAGTGTTGTTATTAACTGTAAAAAACTCAGTCTGCATTTGATGTCTTTTATGAGAACATTTTAATATGCCACCATATATTCCAGAATGTAAAGAAAGAAAGAAGTTTGGGATGGTTGTGAAACAACAACATGTTTTATTAAAGTCCGAGTGCATGTTTCGTGATTGTTTTATTGTCAATGTGACGGCACCACACGCAACTCCAGTCTTATTTTCGGTGGGAAGGCGCATAAAAGAAAACAGTCGCAATTTATTGTACATAAAACAGTATTAAACATAACATATTTGAAATATCATTCAAGAAAGAATGGCTCCTTGAAAACAAAGCGCCTCGTGTGTGTCGTTTGATAGGCAATTTAATGTCCATGTTTACATCCATTGTAATGCATGGCATGGTTCTTCAAAGGATAGGAGAGAAACGAATATAGTTTGTGGGGGCGGAACAGGGTGTACTCAGGATTGTTATGAAAGTTTCGTTAGGGAGTCTGAAAATTATATTCGCATACAGTTAAACCTCGTAAGTTTTGACCCCGTTTATCCGGAAACCCGCTTTCCGGACGGCAGCCGTTCAGAGGCATTTACTAACTATGACACGATGCATTTCAACATGGCGATGCTATCTCATACCGCGGCCTTCACAGAGAGTCTTCACACCTCCCTACCCACTGGCACCTACTTGCATGGGTCGGGAGGTCTTGCATGGGTCGGGAGGTCTTGCATGGTGACTTGGTTGGTAGCCTGGCGTCGTACCCCAACAACGTTGGCCTTTGCTTATTATACTGATCACCGGAGTGTCTGGTCCTGACTCCATTGTTTACAGATCGCCGTATGGCAGGAATATTAATGGGTGCCGTGGAAGGAACAAACACTTATTATTGATGAAAATTGTGTGGCCTGTGCCCCCGGTAGAGCAGAACATGCCTGACCTTCTCGCGAACACCTGGTGTTATCACTGATTCATTCCATCACGTAGCTGGAATATCGCTGAGTGCCGCGTTAGACAACAAATAAACAATTCAACATGACCATATAATCATATATAAGTTCATGACTATTTTTTTTATTTTACGACCATCGGTGTCAGATAAATGAGGCTGACTATTTTTAGTGTCGTTGACGTTTTGAATTTAGGAATGGCTGCGTATTGACAAAGTACAACACTCAGTAACGATAACTCGTTAATACGGACATTTATACTCGCAATGGTGCCGTCCGGATTAACGAATGAGTAAGTATTATTTTACGCCGCTTTTATCAATATTCCAGGAATTCACGTCGGGGGACACCAGAAATGGGCTTCACACATTGTACCCATGTGTGGAATCGAACCAGGGACTTAGCCGTGACGCTTTAACCACTAGGCTTCACGCATAAACTAACATGCATACATAAAACGATTCCATGAGTAAGTACTGCACGTTTTATGACATGGTCAAAGTAGGTAGAAGGTTCCACACTGTGGAGCTGGTATCTTGATAAGTACGTCGTTAGACGGAAGGTCACGATCAATTGGTAATGGCCCATTACAGGTTTCCTGTAACGAAGTAATTAGTTTACGGGTCACCTTGATCATATAACGGGAATCAGAACAATGATGATTAACGTTGCTAGACATTAGGGTAGGGTGATAATGACTTGGTCTTTGCAGATGCCTAACACTGTCCGGACTTGAGCGCGGACTCGGCCAGTCTATCATCTGGAACGAGATGTTGATATCTAAATATGTTATTGTCAACCTTTCTGCACAGCCAACACAATCCATCACCTTTAAGTTAATGACATCGACATCGGATGTTTGTCATGTATTTATTGATTAAAAATCAGTGATACAGTGAGTGAGTGAGTGAGTGAGTGAGTGAGATGGGTTAAACGCCGATATAAGCAGTAATCCAGTTTTATCACTGTGTGTCAGCTTAATGTCGGAGGAAAGCCCGAAGTGATGCAAGTCTCACATTTTTACCACTTCGGTGAAACCCACGAGGACGGGTATGGTGCTGACAAACCTAGAAACATAATAGGGGCGAACAGGTGAAGCTGTAGCTGTAGTTGTATAATGTATTGATATCATGTCGGTGAATATTGTAATCATGTTCTTTGTAACAAGAGATGAAGCTGTAGCTGTATAATGTAGTGATATCATGTCGGTGAATATTGTAATCATGTTCTTTGTAACAAGAAATGAAGCTGTAGCTGTATAATGTAGTGATATCATGTCGGTGAATATTGTAATCATGTTCTTTGTAACAAGAAATGAAGCTGTAGCTGTATAATGTAGTGATATCATGTCGGTGAATATTGTAATCATGTTCTTTGTAACAAGAAATGAAGCTGTAGCTGTATAATGTAGTGATATCATGTCGGTGAATATTGTAATCATGTTCTTTGTAACAAGAAATGAAGCTGTAGCTGTATAATGTAGTGATATCATGTTGGTAAATATTGTAATCATGTTCTTTGTAACAAGAAATGAAGCTGTAGCTGTATAATGTAGTGATATCATGTCGGTGAATATTGTAATCATGTTCTTTGTAACAAGAAATGAAGCTGTAGCTGTATAATGTAGTGATATCATGTCGGTGAATATTGTAATCATGTTCTTTGTAACAAGAAATGAAGCTGTAGCTGTATAATGTAGTGATATCATGTTGGTAAATATTGTAATCATGTTCTTTGTAACAAGAAATGAAGCTGTAGCTGTATAATGTAGTGATATCATGTCGGTGAATATTGTAATCATGTTCTTTGTAACAAGAAATGAAGCTGTAGCTGTATAATGTAGTGATATCATGTCGGTGAATATTGTAATCATGTTCTTTGTAACAAGAAATGAAGCTGTAGCTGAATAATGTAGTGATATCATGTTGGTAAATATTGTAATCATGTTCTTTGTAACAAGAAATGAAGCTGTAGCTGTATAATGTAGTGATATCATGTCGGTGAATATTGTAATCATGTTCTTTGTAACAAGAAATGAAGCTGTAGCTGTATAATGTAGTGATATCATGTTGGTAAATATTGTAATCATGTTCTTTGTAACAAGAAATGAAGCTGTAGCTGTATAATGTAGTGATATCATGTCGGTGAATATTGTAATCATGTTCTTTGTAACAAGAAATGAAGCTGTAGCTGTATAATGTAGTGATATCATGTCGGTGAATATTGTAATCATGTTCTTTGTAACAAGAAATGAAGCTGTAGCTGTATAATGTAGTGATATCATGTCGGTGAATATTGTAATCATGTTCTTTGTAACAAGAAATGAAGCTGTAGCTGTATAATGTAGTGATATCATGTTGGTAAATATTGTAATCATGTTCTTTGTAACAAGAAATGAAGCTGTAGCTGTATAATGTAGTGATATCATGTCGGTGAATATTGTAATCATGTTCTTTGTAACAAGAAATGAAGCTGTAGCTGTATAATGTAGTGATATCATGTCGGTGAATATTGTAATCATGTTCTTTGTAACAAGAAATGAAGCTGTAGCTGTATAATGTAGTGATATCATGTCGGTGAATATTGTAATCATGTTCTTTGTAACAAGAGATGAAGCTGTAGCTGTATAATGTAGTGATATCATGTCGGTGAATAGGTTAATATTATGTTTTCACAACTGAGGAAGACTTTGAAGTCCTTTGATATTTTTATCCTATTGACTTTATGTCAGTAAATATTGTAATGCTATTTGTCATAACGGGCGAACACACTTTAGCTTATTAAGAAAAACAATTTTGGCAAATAGTGTAACATCATCTTTTACGTGGTTCCGGGCCAGGATTTTTCAGCACTTGTGACAGGATCTGGATCAACGTCCTCCCCTGGCATTTAACTTGACGAATCTATGTCCTGCCCCCTACTCAGCTCCAAGTGGCTGTCGGTTGGCGGTGTCTATCATAAACTTTAGTGGTGTTGTGCTTCAGACATTTCTGAAAGAAATATTATTTAACATCAGTACTTTTGGTTCGTCCCCATTACCCACATTTGCATCTATCATTATT